ACCGGACCCACTCTTACCAGAATTTGGAAGGGACCAACAAATCAGGGTGTTAAATTATCCTTTTTCCAAATCTCGGATGTCCTTTCATTGGGGTGGCTTTCACGAACACATGACTTCCTACATCAAATTATAAATCCCTTCGTCGGTTATCCGCATAACTCTTCTGTCTGCTTTGAGCTGTTTTCAATCTTTCTCGGATAATTTTAACCTTTTCAGTTGTCAACTGCACAATCTCAGGCCCTAGCATTGATCTATCTCCAACTTCGGCCCAACACACGGAAGAACGACACGGTCTTCCATACAGAGCTTCATAGGGTGCCATTTCAATACTCGAATGGTAACTGTTATTGTATGCAAACTCTATCAACGGCAAATGGGTTTCCTAACTTTCTTGAAAATCCAGAACACACATTCGAAGCATATCCTCTAACGTCTGTATCGTTCTCTTGGATTGCCCGTCTGTTTGAGGGTGGAAGGCTATGCTAAATTTTAATTCTGTACCCATTGCATCCTGTAGACTTTGCCAGAACCTTAAAACAAATTTTGGATCTCTATCTGACACAATTGAGACCGGAACACCATGGAGCCTTACAATTTTATTTACATAGATTACAGCAAGCTTGTTTGCGTTATATTGAGTCTTCACAGGTAGGAAGTGGGCGGACTTAGTTAATCGGTCGACAATGACCCATATAGAATTCATACCCCGAGGTGTCTGTGGTAACCCCACGACAAAATCCATGGCCAGATGTTCCCATTTCCATTCCCGGATTGGAAGGGGTTGTAATAATCCTGCTAGTTTCTGATGTTCTGCTTTTACTTGCTGACATTGCAAACACTTAGAGACAAACTCCGCGACTTCCTTTTTCATACTTGGCTACCAAAAATTTTGTTTTAGATTCCGGTACATTTTAGTGCTTCCTGGATGCACTGAAAACCTTGAGGCATGTGCTTTTTCCATCAGTTTGCGTTTGAGCTCCAATACATTGGGAACACATATTCGGTTTTGAAACTTAACTACGGAATCCATCAAAGTGAACGCTGGTTTCGGTTCTGTTTCTATTTCATCATATATCTTCTTTAGAGTTGCATCTTCCATTTGGCGTAATTTGATCTCTTCCAGTATTTACCAAACAAGTTTTTTTTTGAGTTTTTAAATTTTTTATAAATATAAACAGAAAACTGAAAACGTAAGTGTTACCAAACGACACCTTAGAGACAAACTCCGCGACTTCCTTTTTCATACTTGGCTACCAGAAATTTTGTTTTAGATTTCGGTACATTTTAGTGCTTCCTGGATGCACAAAAAACCTCGAGGCATGTGCTTCTTCCATCAGTTTGCGTTTGAGCTCCAATACATTGGGAACACATATTCGGTTTTGAAACTTAACTACGGAATCCATCAAAGTGAACGTTGGTTTCGGTTCTGTTTCTATTTCATCATATATCTTCTTTAGAGTTGCATCTTCCATTTGGCGTAATTTGATCTCTTCCAGTAATGTTGGTTGGGCTATCACCGCTGCTACTATGGTCCCCGGTTTATGCGCCACAAGTTCTACTTCCATTTTATCCAATTCAATCACCAATTCCTTTTGCTCAGTAAACAGGCTCGCCAAATTTCCCACATTCTTTCTACTCAGCGCGTCTGCAACTGTGTTGGCTTTACCAGGATGGTAATGAATCTGCAAATCATAGTCTTTGATAAGCTCCAACCACCGTCGCTGTCGAATATTCAACTCCTTTTGGGTGAACAGGTATTTAAGACTTTTATGATCGGTGTAGACTTCGCAAGTGGTGCCATACAGATAGTGCCGCCATATTTTCAAAGCAAAAACTACTGCCGCTAACTCCAGGTCATGCGTGGGATAATTCTTTTCATGGGGCTTAAGCTGTCGGGAGGCATAAGCTATCACTCTTCCATTTTGCATAAGTACACAACCAAGCCCTTTATGCAACGCATCACTGTAGATTACAAACCCTTCAGTGCCGGATGGCAAGGCTAGGACTGGTGCTGTAGTCAACTTTACTTTCAACTCTTGGAAGGCGGCTCTCTGCTCTTCTGACCATTCAAATACAACTCCCTTTCGAGTGAATTGTGTAAGCGGCATAGCAATTTTGGAAAAATCCTGAACATACCTCCTGTAATAATCGGCTAATCCCATAAAACTCCGCACCTCAGTTACATTGGCAGGAGTTGGCCAATTCATGATCGCCTCAATTTTGTGTGGGTCTACGGAGACTCCATCCTTGGTTATTACATGCCCTAAAAATGCTACCTTATGTAACCAGAATTCACATTTCTTTAGCTTTGCATACAGCTTCTTTTCTCGGAGTGTTTGACGAATTAAGCGAAGATGATTCTCATGAGCCTCTGTACTCTTCGAGTATATAAGGAAATCATCGATGAAGACCACAACAAACTCATCCAGATAAGGCTTAAAGACACAGTTCATCAGATCCATAAATGCTGCCGGTGCGTTAGTAACTCCAAAGGGCATGACGAGAAATTCATAATGGTCGTATCGAGTCCGAAAAGCTGTCTTCTCCACATCTTCAGCTTTAACTTTCAATTGGTGGTATCCAGATCGCAAATCAATTTTTGAGAAGACTTGCGCCCCTTGTAACTGGTCGAATAGATCGTCAATCCGAGGTAAGGGGTACTTGTTTTTGATTGTCACTTTATTAAGTTCCCTATAGTCAATACATAACCGAAGTGTTCCATCCTTCTTTTTCACAAACAGAACGGGTGCACTCCAAAGAGATACACTTGGGCGGATGAAACCTTTCTCAAGCAATTCTTGTAACTGAATCTTTAATTCTTTCATTTCAACTGGTGACATCCTATACGGAGTCTTCAAAATAGGTTGCGTTCCCGGCGCCACTTCAATTGTAAACTCAATTTCCCGGTCTATCAACTGCCCTAGTAATTTTTCCGGGAAAACATCCGGAAATTCACAAACGACTGGAATCTTATCGGTGTTCTCATTTAGTGCTTGCCCTTCCAATACACTACACAAATACCCCCGGCATCCCTTCTGGATTAATTTGCACGCCCTTGTCGCAGAAATCAAATACGGTGAACGAGTCACCCCATGTCCCTGAAAAGTGAATTCTGATTGCCCCGGAGGATGGAAACTGATCCGCTTAGTCAGACAATCTATGGTGACTCCATATTCACCCAACCAATCCATTCCCAGAATAATGTCAAAAGAATTCATTTCAAGAGGTAACAGATTGGCATATACGTGGACATCTCCAATTAGAAGTTCACAAGCAGAATATACAGAGGTACAGATCATAGAGTTTCCCATAGGTGGAGATACACACAGCACATAAGTCAATTCTTCTTCAGGTTTATCTAAACATTTTGCAAATAATTTTGACATAAAGGAATAGGTAGAGCTACCTAGAATCAATTAATACATAAGCTGAATGACCATGAACCATGAATGTACCTGACACCACTATTGCTACATTCTGAACATCTCCCGGAACCAACGCAAATACCCTATCTTGCCTCGCCGTATCCTTATTGTTAAGAAGTTTAGCAGCTGTCTTGGCATTAGGAGCTGGTGTAGACCCCGCCGAGCTTGTGGCAGCCTTATTACCATTTTGTTGATTCTTTTGTGGACAATCTTTTATCAAATGACCCATTTTACCACACCGGAAGCATGCTCCAGACAATCGGTGACAGATTCCACGGTGTCTCATTCCACATTCTGGACACAGGAGCTGAATTTTGAGTAGGAGTAGTAGTGCTGGAGGTCCCTGAATTTTGCTTCTTGTTTGGTGGAGTACTTGACCCTTTAACCCATTGATTGTTCTGCTTCTTTCCTTTCCATTCGGAAATCCGAGTCTGAGCAGCAATATTCCCTTCTGCAATAACAACCCTTTCTAACACATCCACATAGGTAGGCAACTTCAACACATTAACTCGGTCCAGAATAGTACCCCGCAATCCTCCTTCAAATTTTCGCGCCTTCTTATATTCTGTATCCACCATGTGAGGTGCAAACTGGGCTAGTTCCGCGAATTGAGCTTCATATTCAGCAACAGTTTTATTTCCTTGTCTCAATGTTTCGAATTCGGTCACCTTCTTGCCTCGCATACTCTGGGGAAAATATTTATCATAAAATGGCTCCAAGAATCTATCCCATGTTAATCCCTGGTGCACTGTCCTGGTAAGCATCCACCACCTCCGTGCTTCATCTTCAAGAGTGGACGCAGCAAGCTGCACCTTTTGGACTTGAGTACAAGGAAAGACTTCGAACAACTTTTCGATCCCCAACACCCATGCCTCAGCCTTCATTTGTTCGATTCCTCCTTTAAACGAGGGTGGCTTCATCTTTTTAAACTCTTTTGTAAGTGTAATGGTGCGGTCCTCAGCGTGAAAATCTTGCACTACAGGTGGGGGTACCGGTGGTGGTGGCGGTTGTGGCTGTTGTTGCTGTTGTTGTTGCCGTAAGGTCTCCGCCATTTCCATAATCATTCTTTCCATCCTGTCCAGCCGTGCTGAGGTAGCTTCTTTCGGGTCTTCTGTCCTTATTCGCACCATATTCTACAAGACAAATAATTACAACATATACAAAAAGATACAATAACACGGTTCATGATCGGTAGCGTTAGCAAAAGATATATGACGTTGCTATCAATCTTTCATTCATGCATGATGCCTAAATCTTGCTAGACATCCTAGAGCTCAATGGATCCGTGTGTGAGATAGCAACTCGTGCTCTGATACCACTTGTCACACCCCTAACCCGCCCCTAAAAGTTTTGGGCATGACCTATTCAGAATTGAACACTAACCTGATACATATATCCTACGGGGCCTGAATGGAAGCGTTTGATATTAGAAAATAGTATGAAAACATATCCATTGAGCCACTATTAAAATGCCAGGATCATGACTAGCAAATAAACATATAAGAAACATGCATCTGGGAATAAGGTACATCCATACGTATACATTTACAAGTCCATCCTAGAAATTGGGCATATAACAAAACATTAGATACAATTCAACCTTGGCCGGCAACTAGAGTATAAGCTAACAAAAACAAAGCTGTACTAAGACACAAAGGCCTCTCCAAGTGCCTGGTTGTACATAGGTTGATAAAAGATAGATGATATCGATGTTAGGACTAACCTCCACGTTTCAGACAAAATTATAGAGTGAGACAAGCTCAGTGAATAACAGTAGTTAAACAGTTTGATACTCAATTTGAATCATAATGCATAGCAGTATATTCACAAAAATGGAATCCAAATAAGTAGTCCGATGCTGTATTACTTTTCAGAACGGCCTTGGGCCTAGTTATAACAGAACGGCCTATTGGCCCAGAAGTATAGAGAACAACCTTTTGGCTCAGAAATATACAGAACAGCCTTTTGGCCCAGAAATATACAGATGTAGTTTATTCCTTCATGTAGACGTTAACATAAGAATTTACGGAAATCAGAACGTTAACACCATTAAACATTCATAGCCTTAAGTGCGCATTCATTGTACTATTACTCACAGTATTGAGGCGGAGCACTTGTCCCTTCCGAAGCGTGTCCTACACACACAAGATTACAAATTAGTTCTCTTTTCTTTCTTAAATCATTCCCTGACTTGCTTAACTCCAACTGAATTAAAAGACATCAAAATAACATCAAATGCAGATTTTGACAATATTAGAGGGTTCAACACGCAAAACGGAGCATCTCAAATTTTTCGGCTTGGGCCGCACGTGCGGTTGTGAGCCCCGCACGTACGGCAAACTCTCCCGCACGTGAGGCAGAATGTCCCCGCACGTGCCTTTTTAGCAGAATCAAAACTCAGTTTTTTCCCATTTTCCCGCACGTGCGGTCATGACTCCCGCACGTGCGGCCAAAGCTCCCGCACGTGCGGCCAAAGTTCCCGCACATGTGGCGATTTGCCCAAAAACCTGTCCGAAATTCAACAAAAGTCCAATGCTTTGGGGGCATCTTCAAGGTTCAAAATAGATCTTTAAATTTCCAAAACATGGTTCAAATATCATGTGAATTAGGAGGTGAAACACATGGTGATCTAATTATAAACTAGATTTCAAAAACATAACTCATGTCCAAAGAGATCACAACACACATATTTATCAAAGTGCAATTCAATTCTCTCAATATACAACATCACACATTTGACTTGTAAGCACAACATGAGGAAGCATGCAACATAGGATAGTTTCTTTGCACAAACATAACCATTAACATCAACATCATTCAATGGATAAAACTTAATCCAAGGTACCCATGATCATACTCACACTTATGAAGAATTCTCACTCAATTTTAGGAGAGGAGCTACAAAAGACGAGGGAACTTACCTTTGAGTTTAATTCCTTCAAACTTGCTTCAATTCTCTACTCCTTAATCTTTGATAATGCTCTCTCCTAGATCCCTTCCTCCCTATTTCTCTCAAGAGGTGTATTTGTTGTAACTAAAGTTCTTAAGTCCAACACATATAAGGGACACAACTATATATATAAACATAGAGTGAGATAAGGACAAAATTGAATCAGTTTACACATCCCGAATTGAATTTTCACAGAAATGCTTATTATTACCTAAAAATTATGCTGATTCTAAATATAAAGTCAATTTCTGGTAATTAAGCCTCTAAGGCTTTCAATTTCTATTTTGAACGTCTTAATGATAACAGATGCCTTTCTTATCCAACAGATAAAATCTCAAACATTTTTCCTTAAGCATTGCAATGCACAAAATAAGAGACTTAAACATGTCAGAAACACATACGGGGGTCAGGTTATTATAGTTGCATTGTACCTATCAAGTTTCTTTCTCATTCATGTACGATATTGTATGTACGGTTCATTCAACAAAGTTCCGTTTAAGGTCATTCAATCTCACTTCATTCACTCAGTGTATCAATCAGACGTCATTCATTTAGTATATCTATCATACTTTGTTCACTTAGTGCATCTATCACACTTTGTGTTCACTTTTAGTGTATCTATCATACTTTGTTCACTTAGTGTATCTATCACACTTTGTGTTCACCTTTAGTGTATCTATCATACTTTGTTCACTTAGTGCATGTATCACACTTTGTGTTCACCTTTAGTGTATCTATCATACATTGTTCACTTAGTGCATCTATCACACTTTGTGTTCACCTTTAGTGTATCTATCATACTTTGTTCACTTAGTGCATCTATCACACTTTTTGTTCACCTTTAATGTATCTATCATACTTTGTTCACTTAGTGCGTCTATCACACTTTGTGTTCACATCTAGTGTATCTATCATACTTTGTTCACTTTGTGCATCTATCACACTTTGTGTTCACCTTTAGTGTATCTATCATACTTTGTTCACTTAGTGCATCTATCACACTTTGTGTTCACCTTTAGTGTATCTATCATACTTTGTTCATTTAGTGCATCTATCACACTTTATGTACACATTTTGTGTATCTATCACACTACGCTCACTATGTGTATTTGTCACACGCTCACTTTGTGTATCTATCACACACTCGTTTTGTATATCTATCACACTATGCTCACTTTGTGCATCTATCACGCATGCTTGTCCACGTAGTGTATCTATCACACTTTGTTCACCTTTATGTATCTATCGTACATGTTCGTGAGAATTGCATAATTTTCTTACATTCTTTCTGCATGTAATGTAGTTCGATTTGTTTTCGTTCGCTTAAACTGTCGCATTTATTGTGTATAATTGCTTCATTACAACTCTCTTTGCATGATCATAAGTTATGTTCAGCCTCGTGCATGTCTTTTGCATTTTGCCCCTGCCTGCGGGCACGTCTCTTTGTTATCTCTCCTGTTTGTCTAAGTTTTCGGCCTTGTAAAAAATGGGTCATCTCTGGGCTTTGACATTCACTCCCGTCACTTATGACTTTCGAGTTCTGTCAAAGAGGGGCAACTGTAGACACCCCATTTTTGACAGCCTTAAGACTCAGACGTCATCGATTGAGCGCTCGGTGGTAGTGCATGTTGTGCTCATTTCAAGCTTCGAAGTTTGGCTGAGAGCCTTGCCTCTGGGTCTTCGAACTCGTTGTGCTTTGGCTCGGTTTACGGACTGAACCTTGTTTCTCTTCTTGGAGGGAGGGAGAGGTCTTGAAGACCATCTCTTTGTGGTCGTAGACCACTCTTTGCGGTCGTAGACCACTCTTCCCGTTTGGAGATCAGTTTCTGGTTTTCGGAGCCTTCGGCCGTGCGCCTTGTCTCGGGACCGCTTAACGTTCTCCGTTTGGCTTGGTTTTTGGACCACACCTTGTTTCCTCTGTCTAGAGGGACACTGTGGTCCGGGAGACCACTTTTGTGGTTGCATACCACTTTTGGTGCTCAACAACCAGTTTTCGAGGCTCTCGGCTGCGTGCTTTGCCTCTCGAACTCTCGTTTTGCATCCGTGTTGGCTTGTTTTTGGCACAAACCTTGTTTCCCTTGTTTGGAAGGTAGTACAAGGGTGGGAGACCAGTTTCTCTCCTTGGAGACTACTTTTCTTCCCGCCAGTCGATTTTTTGGTCGAGAAACTGGTTTTCTTGGTCTTTGGGCCACATTTGCTGGTCTCCCACCCCACCATTGGCTTGCTTTCAGTGTGGAGACCACCAATTCCCCCTGTCGACCACTTTCTCTTCTGGTCAACCACTTAAAGTGGCTAGCCAACCACTTAAAATAGCAGGCCGACCACTTTAGTTCGTCGGCAGCTTTCCCCCTGTTTTGGCAGACTGAGTGGATGCCAGTTGTGCCAGCTGTAGGGCACAGACTGTATCCTCCATACGCGTGTATGGAGGGATTGCATCCAAATCTTAGCTTCTCTAAGAAGCTTTAACCTTTGTTTTTCTACAAGAGAGGGGCTCTCTCTCCATGGCCAGGGTTCAGATTTTTGGCTGAGAGCATAGGCTTACACTCTCTCTATATCCCTATCTTTCTCTCTCTATATTAGTGCTTTGCTTCACACTTGTACACACAACCTCATAGCCAAACACTCTTACCTTGTTGCTGAGTTGCTGAAGGGTCTTGAGGGAGCTCAAGAGTTGGTTTTGGCTCAGAAAATTTGCTGGTATTGCAGTTCTTCAAGGGTAACCTTCTTTTCCCCCCTTTTAGCTTTATTTTGATCACTCTCTTAGCCATATTTGCATGCTTCTCTTGGCTTAACTTTAAACTAAAAAAAGCTTTATTTTTGAGTACTTAACATGTTTGTTTGAGGCTCATTAGGTGTTGTTGGGGGTGTTCTTTGGCCTTGTTTTGTGCCATGCCTTGAGGCCTTTGAATTAGTCTTTGCTTGGCCTTTTAACCACTGAAATCCGGTGGATTTTCAGTGGTAGGCATGTGG